TGATTGTAAGTTGAAAACTATCTGTATGGAGATGGGTTTGTGGGTCATCTTAGATATCTGAATTAAATGATTAAATGAGATCCAGAATGAACTATTTCAATGCCAGCTACTGTAATGGGTAGTGAGAATAATATTGGGGAGCAGGAGGAACAGCCAAAACCAAGACCAAGAAATCTAAGTTTGAAGCAAAAAGGTAATTTGCAGACTTGACCCTCCCAAGTTCTCATATAAAGGAAGACAATGAGGGGGCAGGTACTTGCAGACTTGCATGATTGATGTCAATATTTTAAGACAGAACCAATCTGGAAACCAAAGTGATGAATGCTAAAACTACTCTTCGTATAGGGTTATAATAACAGAATCTTGTCTTTATTGCTGGTAGTATAAGGTAATGGAATTTTGAAAGCTTGCCAAAGTTAATCCAGCTCAATCAATCCCTATTGTAACTAATGTGTGGGATTATTCCAAGTTTCTTTTTCAGCTTTTCCCCTCTTCCCTGGTGTCAGGGAAACTTTTCTGTAACAGTCCTGCTTCCTTCTGAAATGGTCATGCTTTGGTGTCCATGTTCACAGAATCTGTTAGACATCCTATCACAACCTTCTCTGGATTATCCTGTTCCTTAGAAAGACTCTGCTATTCCTCTGCTATTCCACCTACCAGAAGGAAATCCTCTGAACTGGAGGTGGTGTGTGCTGTCTTGGACATGAAAGGGAATGGAATATTGTAGACTTTTCTGGACGTTTAATGTAGTGGTTAAGGTGCTGGACTAGAAACTGTGAGTTCTAATCTCACTTTAGGCATGAAAGCTGAAATTACTTATACAATATTAAAGGTGAGATAAATCAAATAAACACTCCACTCCTGAATCAGTGAGCTTTCATATTCTTGAGAGCAAGATCAAAAGAAGGTTAAAAGCCTTTGCTTTTTTTGGGTGAGAAACACAGGAATGCCTGCCAGTCAATCTAGAGATCTAGGCATTTTAATGTGTTATCAGAGTTCAAGTGCCAAGACATAGGGGTAACAGCTATGGGAGTCTCATAGCTGGGGACAGCTGCTGCTTAGCATGGCAGAGTGCAAGTGAGTTATTGGCTTTGCCTGTAGGAAGATAGCAGGAAAGTTGCAAATGGCGATTGTCACCATGGGACTACTGGAACAGTCAGAACTTTAGGACCAGTCATAAGTAGCACTCGTTCAACACTGTTGCAACTTCAAACTGTTGTTGAAGAAGTGGTCATTAAATGACGATTATCTATAATTTTAGACTTCATTAAGAACTAACATATAATAGCATAGAATAAAATGGATGGACACTAGACTGAAAAGAAAAGAAGTGCAATAAAGGAACAATAGGTATGCCATCTAAAATTGAGAGTGAAGCCAGTTTGCTACCAAAGCAAGATTTCTTTGCTTCCAAAGTAAGGGAAAACCTTGCTTTGGAAGAAAACTGGGCAATAAAATAAAATCAAAAACTCTTCCTCTTTCCCTCTTAAGTCTCCCTCTGTGTTTGATTGCTTCCTGCTTCCTTAAAGATTTCCTATTACAACTTGGGGGCAGATGTTCATATTTCATTCTTTTCTTCTCCACAGCCACTGCTGTTCAAAGGTAGCTTCAAAATATATGCTCAGGGATTTAGCCAGCTATCTAAAACAATCAAGGTTGTTGACAGGTTTTTTAATGAAATATTAATACACTTTAAAAATGCCTTTACTTCAGTTAAGGGCAACTGGTTATTTCTGATATTATGCTGCCTCTTGGTGGTTGAGAGAGAATTTTTATTAAATTAGGGACAATAAGTTTTTAGAATTTTTTGAGCATGAAGGAAGCATTTCCCATTATAAATTCTTCCAACACCTACAGATATGTGTTTGTGTCTTAGTGCATTTCAACAGCTTGGGTGTATCTATTTTTTTAAAAAAAGTAGAGTATTAAAAAAAACCCTTTTTTGCATAGAAATAGCAACCAGGGCAACAGCATCAACACAAGGCAAATATCAGTAAGATTAATGTTTTATTTATTATCTGGCCGGCTGTACAGCAAATGTACTCTTTTTGAAATCAATGGCTTTCATCCAAAAACTCACTGGAAGAGCACCAAATCCTTTTGATCCTGTGTGAGTTTGGGAAATGTTAATGTTATCTGCATATTTAATTTTAATATTTTCATTTATGATTCATTGCCAAGAAGAAATGATCTTGCTAACATTATTTCATTTCTCACCAATGAATCTACCCTTGCCTTAAAAAAACCCTTTCATTTAACTATTACTCCCACAATTCATGGGATCATTATGAGCAGGTATTCTTACTATATTGATTATAAGATCTCTTATGAATGTCTGTGGAGTTTGCTTGGAAGAAATTCCTCCCATTTGCCAATTTAAGGCAATCTTTTAATTTTAATCTACAAAGCCACAATTAAAAATGAAATACAGAAATGTCAATGGCTCAAAATTTTCTTTAGGAAATGGGCATATCAATATTGTATACTGACACCTTATTTAATTAAGGAATTTGCAGAATGACTCATTAGGAATGACATTGTGAAAATCCAAGCTTAAATCCAAGTGGTTAAGTTTTGAAGTGTTGTGCAAATGCAGGAAATTGCATTCATTGCATATAATCAATAACTGTCAGCATACCATACAATCTTCCTCTTCAAAAAAGGCTCTGGATTGGGCAAGTTGTCAATAATTTTTTTCTGTTTTAGTTATCAGTCACAAGCTAATAGTCCTTTCCAATGGAATTTGTCCTTTTATAAATAATACAGGATGTCTTAGCTAAACTGAAAATTGGGTTAACTGAGTAAAGTTCACTATAGCTAAATGTTTTCTGCTAATATAGCTGGCATGAATAAGCAACCAAATAATGTCACTATCAAGGTGGGAAGCTACTTTATAACTATTTGCAAAGCATCAAAATTGCTGTCAGCAAAGACCTCTCCCACAAAAATCTGCTTTAATTTGTCTGTATTTTATGTTTTCTCATTATGCTTTTATTAAAACTCATAGTGTAATAAGATTGGGACTGGGTTAGGGACTTCTGTCTTCACTGTGAGTTGTTTTGGGGAGGGATGCATGAAAGGACGCTCAGCCAATCTCATTGTACACATGTTGTACTCTGACAATAAAGGTAGTAATAAATTAAAAAGCTTTTTATCAGAGAAGAACAAAACATTCTGGCCTATGTTTAAATTCTTCTTTGTTAAATTATTTGAAATACATGAGGAAAAATTACACAATTTTTACTTTTGTATATGTGTGCATGTGTGTGTGTTTGGTTGCAGTTGTGTTTTTAATAGGTGAGGGAAAAGAGAAATCAGATAACCCATCCAAGGTGTGCAATTTCAGGATCTCCCTGGAATCAAAGCTTCTGCTTAAGGAGCAGATGCCAGGAGTGGTTAAATTAATTTCAACAGAATAGTGGCCAATAATGAAAAAATACAGAAAGTCAATCTAGAAATACAAGTTACAATAATTTTGACAAAGATATGAACTGAATGAAATTATTAATATAGCATTGAATTGTCCCATGATGAGTTGCCCCACGGTGAGTTGGCCAGGATGAGTTGTCCTAGACTTGGCCAGAAAAGCCTTTGTAGACTTCATTTGGTGTGCTAGTTTCTTTCCTAGATTAAATACCTCATACAATCACTCATATCCTTTCTGGTTTGACTGCTTCAATGTGGCTGCCCTTGAAGACTACTTACAAGATTCAACTGGTCCAGAATGCAGTAGCATAGACATGCCTCAGTATGCCCATATAACGCCCCTGCTTTGTGAGCTTCACTAATTATCAGCTTGCTTCCTAGTGTGACTCAAAGCCCTACATGTCATAGAAGTACTACTTGCCTCCCATAGAAACTGCCCAATCCTGTCTGGCAGGTTTGGTACACTCCAGGTTCCTTTGACTAAACAATACCATATTTCCAGAATCCAGAATTCTGCCTTCTCTGTTGCAATGACTAGAGTTCACATTCATCCTGAGGTTTGAACACCTCCCATTCTACTGGGGTTTCAAAGGTCTTTGAGGATTTGGCTCTTTGGGAAAGCTGACTGAATCCCCTTTAGAGTTTTCTTTGTTTTCATTGGATTTTGTTATTCTTGGCATCTTTTAACATTTTTTAAAAATTTGTAAACCACTCAGAGTAACGGAATTGGGCAAACTAATAATAATGTTAATCAAGATTCAATCAAATCAAAGTTTATCAATATGTGGATTTTTTAAAGTGCCATACCAGAAAGCCATGGGTGGCACTTAGAAAATCTATACAGTTGACAAAATTTATGTCAATCACAAAGAGCACTTTACTTAAATTGATGTATATACTATGCCAATATATATTGACATCCTAGGTTCTTGGGAAGAATTCAATATGAATAAAGATCAACTCCAGCTAAAGAACTATTAGTGGTGATTTCACATAATTTTGAATCATCATCATCATTCAACCAAAGTAAATTTGCTCTTAACTAGTTCTGCTTAGCTAGCAGAATGCAAAGGATATCCGAAAACATATTATTAAATATATTTGAATAACTAATTTATTTTAATGATATGTTTTCATTAAATATTACACATTATTTATTAAAAACAAGAGAACAGCCAGTAGAAGGCAGTAACTAATCATTATAACCAAGAAAACTGCTAAGTGTGATGGCATCTTTATTTTATTAATCTGAATCATATGATTTTTCTATTGATTTCTTCTCTGTAAATCCAGCAATTCTATTTTCTCTCCAGCAACTTTGCAACTTATAATTTCAGTTATGCAATTCAAAGGCAATTTCCAGAGTAAAGTGAAGAAAGTGTGTTGGAATCCTTAAATTTAATATAGAAACAGTTACCCTAAAAAATGAAGATTTTTAATAATCAAGAACTGTCTCATCCTGGAATCACCAAAGCAAAATGTTTTTATCAACTGAAGATTGGTAAATATTTATTGAAGTGCCACTGGCACTAACTTTACTATTCAGATCAAGTGAAATACTTGATCAGCTGACTTGGCAGTATTGCAATCCTTCTGAGATTAGTCAGTGAGAGCGAGGGTTGAATAAAGTAGACGGGGTAAAAGATGAGAGGAAAATTCTTCTACCTTCTAGTAGCTTCAACTTTGATAGCCTACTACATCTACACACCTTTACCAGAGAATGTGGAAGAACCCTGGAAGGTGTTGCTTTTGGATGCCGCCATTAGAAGCCTAAGGCATGTGGTAAGTCGAGACATTTATTTCCTGTGCTTATGCCTGAGAATGCCTGAAGATAAAAGTTGTGCTTCTAGGGAAATAAGATAATGCCGGAGAAAACAACAAGCAAGAATGAAGAACATGTAAAAGAAGTATAGAATGAAGTATATGTAAAATGAAGACTTATCATATTGAAAGCAGATACTGAATATTATTGGGGCGGGGGAGAGAGAAGGGGACAATAGACATGGAATGTATGCATTTTTCTACTCCTTTTCTGGATATAATTATCTCATATATTAATAGTATAATAAAAACAGGAGCAACTTCTTTTCTATATTTTAGAAACTTATCCTTTTACAAAACATTTTCTTCTAGAACATTAGACTCTGAGCAGGATGCCTTTTTTATATTGGAGATATTGTATATTTCAGACACTCAAGAAAGCCAGTTTGGTCTAATGGTTAAGACACTAGGCTAAAAACCTGGAGACTGAATTGTAGACCAGTCTTAGACATGAAAGTCAGCTGTGTGATCAATTCCTGCTGTAACTAAATGGAGCAATTCTTGGATGATCAGGAATAAATCAGACAGTGCACTTGGGGGAAAATGCTAGGGGAAAAAAGAAAGAAAAATACTTCTTTCACTTCTTATCTTATGGAACTGTTTGCTGAACTGAGTAAATTCTTGCACTTTTTTTTTACCATCTCATTATTTCCAGATTGCAATGCTTAATTGGTAATGCATGAAATGTATTTTGTCTATTTTATTTTGTGCCTGCATACAGAATGGGAAGCCCTTACTTTCATTTCATTGGCCTCCACAAGTCATCTCAAATGGAGAAATGTCCCCTCCCTCATTTTTTAATTTTTTTTTATAACATATAAAAATTCAATTTCCATTAAACAGTCTGGGTACAATTGTTTTTAGGCAACCATAATCAAAGTGTTTACAATAGTGTTCATCACAATAATATTAATACTATAATAACAATAATATTTAACTTACCTATTTTAACTTACCCTTTTAACATTTATCCTTTTTATGTCCCCACATTTCTAACTTCTGTTTCTTTTATCTAACCATTGGTAAAATAGATGCCATATCAACAAATATTCAGTGTTGTATGAAAGGAGAGAAGGTTAGCACTCCCCTTGATAAGGATGGAAGAGGCCCTTGTGGTCTTTGCAACACGCATATGGTTAAGGCGCTGCCACTTACGTCATGGCATCTAACCAGTTTTTCCTGGCAAACAGACAACCCTGGCAAACAGACAACAAATGGTCAAAATTGGGAGCGTCCTATCAAATTCTGTACCTGTCAATAGTGGTGTCCCCCAAGGCAGTGTTCTAGGACCAACTCTCTTCATACTCTACATAAATGACCTCTGTGATCATATTAAGAGCAATTGCATTCTTTTCGCTGATGATGTAAAGCTGTTCAATACCACAGACAATACTGCTACCCTACAAAAAGATCTTGACTATGTATCAGAATGGTCAA